ACACGCACGATCTCCGCAGAGGGTTGCGCGCGCATGGGACAAATCGCACTCTCGCCTGCGTTTGGTGCACTCGACACGCACGATCTCCGCAGAGGGTTGCGCGTCAAGTCTCCAAAACGAGCGTTTCGTACGAGACTTGCTCAAAAACTCACACGTCAAAGTCTGCAAAACGAGCGTTTCGTACGAGACTTCCTCCAAAAGTCAAGCGGAAACACCCATCGGAGCACACACATCACGCAGCCCTGCCAAGCAGTTTCGCGATTCCAGCCCCTCCAAACAACATCCGCTCACATGCCAATCCCAATGGGACAGCGACATTCACCTCTACCACAACTCACAACCTCACGATTCCCTGCGCCTGCCACGAATCTTTCCCCATCCACACGTCTAACGCGCGCAAAGTACTGCGCCTGCCACGAAATGTCACCTCCCTCACACCTCGCAACCTCACGATTCCCTGCGCCTGCCACGAGAATTGCACTTCCACGCTTCAAATCCCGCACGAAGTCCTGCGCCTGCCACGAAAAGTGACAATATCATCGCATGTGAGCTTCAACAAAATTTGCACCACACCACACGTTTGGAATGATTTCGACCCGTTCAGAGCACACTCCCATCCATCAAGATCGCCATTTCAGCTGAGACTTGTCACGAAAACAGAGCTTCGATGCCACACCCTGAAACGCAAATCCCAATGGCACGGCCACATCCAACACCCCAAAAACACGACTCTCCAAACGCTAATCCCAATGGAACTGCGCCGTAATCTGCGGATCTCACAAAACGCTGCGCCTGTGCAGCGAAGTGCATCACGCTTCTTGCGCGACATGTCCGTGTCGCGCAAATCACAATGGACTAGCGGCGCAAACTGACACGTGACACATCCATGCAAAGTCACTTGCAAAAGCTTCCCCCAATGGCAGCAAATTTGAGACGCGACGACGACGACAGACGACCACAGACGACGACAAACGACGAGAGACGACGACAGACGACGAGAGACGACGACACGACGCAAGCCACGCGAACACAGCTCCAACCCCCAGACCCCCAACTATAAACGGGAACCCTTCGCTACGCATTCGGGAATAACTGTAGAGCACAGTGTTTTTGCTCATGTTTTGCATGGAACATATTTTTTGCAGGAGCAAGCCAAGTCTAAGCAGGGAATCTTAATGGGATACAACAGCTGAACTGAACAATAGAACACTAAGTTAACAAACAAACCATATGTTTAAACATGTGCTGGGTGGGGTGCGAAAACTCCCGCCCACTAAACTGTTCAGGGTGTGGGAATAATAAGTTTTTTCTGTTCGACCAGTATCATCATCGCCTGTGTATGGCTGTATTTGTGGAAATGACTACACTCTTTCATTTGCACAATATTCTTGTTCCGTAGAGAACCAAGCAACCTTGAGCGGACCTGCACCAAAGAAAATGTGGAAATTCTTTCATCACTTTCAACGGCTTTCATCTTGTGGAGCCGACTCGAAACCAATTATTTTGCACACTGTGTTGGAGGGCCAACTTGCAAGCTCGAGTGCATGTGTATCCGCCACTGACAGATCCTTGGCTTGGACGAACTTTAGATCACAGTTCCGCCATATTCCCGTTTGCTGTTTGTGAGGTGCTCCAGTCAATTTTGTTTGGTTTGCTGTGGATCTCTTGAGTCACAGAGTTTTTGGTGTATCGTTATGGTTTGTGTCAAACTATGGGTTCACATGACATTCACTGTGAACCAACGTGAAGCATATTTCGGGCTTCAACGTTTATAATCAATTAGCACAAACACAGTGGCTCTAACAGACCCACCTCAACCGTGCGTACATCACTTTCAGCGTTTTGAGCACCATGTGTCAGGCAATTTGGGATGACAATATGCAATGTTTGATGAGTGCTTTCAATCCTTACGTTTGTTTGTCTAGCATGTTGTGTGTGCATTTTTCCTACAGCACCTCCAAATGTTGCCATGGCTCGAGATCTACACACATAAAACATAAACATGCAAAGGTATGGAAACCAAACATGCATGTTGGGGTAATTGCAACTCTCATCAAGGCTTGCCATGTGCACATTGAAACACCAATCAGCACGTGGCCGAGACTGATTGACAGACCAAACCATTCCCAGCACCAACTCTCTAAACTCCATTTCAATGGACTCATCAAGGTTTTTCAACGAAGAGAAAGGGTTTCCTGGCTTCGAGCCTGTGTTGCGCAGACAAATAGCCCACGCTGAGCCGTGCTGCTCGCGTCACTTGTGGCCCGCGGGGCAGCACTTGATGGACCGATTTCGCTATGCATGGCGTCTTTAGCTTCTGAGTGGCAAGAATGTTTGGGCAAGATACGCAAATTCTTGTTCTGTCAAACGAAGGGGCCCGGAGGGATGATGTGCTGTTCTTTCAGAGCACTTTTGTGCAAAACCACGTGCACGTTTGCGCAAGAGCATGTTGTCCTTTTCAAACTCTCAGGAAGCATGCGTTGGCTACTAGTAGCTGGTATATGCAGAGCAGTTCCAGTCACAAGTTTCAATAGAAAAGGAACATTTTGTAAACCTACTGCAGTGAGGAGATGATTAGGCCATACGAAGCTGAGCATACAACGAGGTCGTTGAAGGGTGGACATGTCGACATATGTTGTCGTGTGATGAGGTTTTCATGCTCCGATGCCTTTGCCTCTCGTATCTCACGAACCTTGTTTGCTCAGTGGACTGCTCTGCCCAGCCTCCAGTGCAAAGAGCCTCGAAGGGGCGTCCTGTGAAGCTCACAGGGCTTTCCATCAGCAACTTGGACAAGTTATTCTTGAGTAGTAAGTAGCACTCTTGAAGGGTACAAGATATGGCCTTTAAGTTAGCCTCATGGTGTTGGGGCGAGGCTTTGCTCATGTTAGCAGCACTTTTTTGACACTCAAAGAGCCAGAAAAGTTCCAGGCAGTGGACAATCTCTTCCTGTTTCGAAACAAAGCCAAAGACATGTAGAAGTGATGGGAATCCTTTTTGCTTGCGTAGTCCTCCCGACAAACCATAAGAAGCTGAAGCCAACTCCAGTAGCGAAAGATCAGACTTCGCAGTTGTCACTCCTCAGAAACTTCACAGCACAGCTTGAGCCAGTTCGTCTTCTGGCCATGTCGCTGCATACTTTGAGTAGTCAAGAGCTCGTGGCAAGCTAGTTGGCGCCTTTCCTTGGCATCCCCGAACAGAACACTTCTTACCTTCGCCAAGTGCCTAATCCTTCGCCAAGCTAGTTGAGGTCATGAGATCTCTGAAGAGGAGCTGGACCTCAGCATCCAGGTGTCCCATGGGACTGCCAGGTAAGAGTGGATCCTTCTTGTAGCAAATAAGGGTCTGAACTACAGGTTGGCTGGGTCAAGATGCAGATAGCTAAGATCAAAGTATATCTATGTATACCCAGGAAGTCCAAAGAATATATTTTCCCTGAGTGAAGTAAAGGAAATTCCCTTTCAGATCCCATAAAGACAATTCTTTGTATAGTCTTTGACTTGCAGGGTGTACATATATATATATACACATGTGTATGTACATATACATATACATATATATATATGCCTCTCTATCATGAGCATCTGAGCACGCACTTGCTCTAGTTTCTCGGCTCGAGACGGGCCGCGGATGCACTGGGCTGCTGTCGTGGACCTGGTGCGCGAGCTCAGGTTCTGGGTGCCGACGAGCGCCTCGTGCAGCTGTCCGTGGGGCTGGCTGCTGCTGGCCATCGTCTTGGCCTTCACCCTGGGCTGCTGCTGTGGAGGCTGCCTGGCTTCCTGCTTCATCTCCCCGGCCTGCCGCCGCGGAGTGAGGCTGGCTTCCTCCTTGCTGCTCAACCTCTGGGTGGAACCAGAGCTTCACGACCAGGGCCTGCAGCTGAGGCGGAGGTTCAGCCAGTACAGGGTGCACGGTGCATGAGCGCCCAGGAGGTGTCAGAGCTCACGGTGACCTTCGGAGGGCTCAACATCCGGATCTGAAGGGAGGCTCCGGAAGCTGGACAGACTGGTGATACGGAGAGCATTGGCTCCTTCTCCGTGGTGGAGGCCCCTGGTACAGGTGCACTTGCAGCCCCATCCGGGGCCCTCAGTTCTCCTGCTGGAGAACTTGCTGCGCTGGGTGCCACCAGCATCTCTACAGCCGGCTGCGCGGCTCGCCTGGTGGTTGGTCGCCTGCAGCCAGAATCGGCAGGGCATTGCGGTGTGGGCTTGTGGCACGAGCCAAACTCGGCTTTCAGCGTAGTCCTGCAGTGACTGCCTGTGACAGCCCTCTCCCCAATCGCATCTACATAGTCCTTCGAGGGGCTCCTGGACATCCAGCAGGGTGGACTGATCATTACGCCACCTTCCGGAACTCGGTGACGGGTTCTTTGGGTCGCCAACACGCAGACGCCGTCTGCGAGGGGTTTGCTTCGCGAGCTGAGGGCCAAGCCTATTGCTTCGGAGCAGAGAGAGTATGGCCGCCGCCTCTGCGGCGTCTGGATTGAACGAAGATGCATTGAGGGCCTTGTATGGGGCCCGAGCGCCCGGACGAGCGCTCTCAAGTCTTTTCCTCCGACTCCCGGCCCGCGAGGACGGTACAGTTTTGCGAGCGCAATGCACTTTGATCAAGCTCCGGTTCGGGGGCTTCATGATCGCAGCTCCAGACACAGAAGAGGTTGCTCATCTCCTACAAGACCAAGAGGTCGAGCTGGAAGGTGGCGAGACCGCGAACGACGCCGGGAGAACTCACTTGTCCTGGCTTCTGACGTCACACCCGGAGCCAAACTATGCCCTGACTCAGAAGAACAAGATGAGGACGGGTGTGGTTCCGTTCACACGCCTGGGCCAGCCCAGTTGGATCTCAGCCAACGTGGCTTACTTGAAGGACCTCGACTTCATCGAGGGTCGCATCAAGGCCACCGGCCAGACAAGCAGTCCGACACCGGCGACCAAAGAGGTGTCAGAGGATCCAAAGTCTCGCAAGCCCTGGAAGAAGAAGAAGGGGAAAGACGAGGCTGGCTCGACCACCGCGAGCTGAAGACTGGGAATGGAAGGTCCCCGCGCCAGCGGCCATCGCAGCGTACCCCTTTGCCGAGCTCCTGTTCCTCAGAGCAGCGGGATTGTCTCCCGACTGCTTCTTTCGGTCTTTCGGTCGGGGGGGAAACTGTGGTGAGCCGACGGCCAAGGCGGGAGCACACCTAAAGAGGGATCCCAGTCAGAGTCGAGGACTGCCTCAGGGGGAAGGTCAGGAGAGCTCTCTTCTGCCCGATTTTGGCGACCCGACCAACGGGGTCGCTTTCCCTGAGGGAATTCAATGCAGTGAGTTTTTCAATGCCGCGCTGCAAGTCGCGGCGCACCAAGGACCTTTTGCTGCCTTCCTTAAGCGCAGCTTGGTGCCTATCCGCGCTGATGCCGGACCTGCTGCCAGGTCCGATCTGTGGCCTTGTCCCCCCCCCCATGCTGGGGGCGTTGGACACCGCTCGAGAAGTTGTCTCCCCGGCGGAGGAAGAAGCATCGCTTCCTTCGCGTCCGAGCACGAGCCCTGCAGCACTTGGTGGTGGCGCTCAACTGGCTGACGCTGGGACAGACCATGTTTCCGCCTGAGAGTGCACGCAGAGGTTTTCCTATGAGCCAACCTCAGTTGGACATGTTGGAATCTTGAGGAGCTCGTTGATCATTTCTTACGAGCTGAAGCTGTTTCAATGGAGAGCCTGGGCCGTGCAGGAGAGAAACAGTTATGCTTTTCAATTAAGTCATCAATCCCTGAAGTTTGACTTTCAGGATTTGCAAGGTTTTTTGGATGTTTTGCGTAAGTCATTCGATAGCTACTCTAGTGTTGAACGACTGCAGGACAGTTCACCTGAAGATGCCATGTCCGGGCTTTCCTCCGTAGAGACTAGTTTAGAGCCTCAGGTCAGGATGCCAATGCAAACCACATCAACCCTCCAAGTTCAAGCTTCCCGCATCAAATGGAAGTTAGCTCCCTCCTTCGATCCTAGTCCCTTTTTGACAGACCCTGTGGTCAAGGAAGCATTTAGGAACCCAGATTTCCTTCGTCGTCCTAAAGACACCTGGCCTGCACTCCCGAAAGCCATCGTGCACGCTGACAAGAGCGAGATTCTCGAGTTGGCCGGAAAATGGGACAGTTTGGATGCTTGCAGAGTGATCGAATGTTCGCAAGTCGCATCCATTGAGACGGTGGGTTTATTTTGCGTTCCCAAAGATGCGCAGTGGGATCGGCTCATTTTGAATCCTACGGTGATCAACTCGAGATGTTTTGGGTATTCAGCATTCACCAAGACACTTGCCCCTGGGTATTTGATCACATCCATTCAATTGCCACGCTTTCATGGCAGTGAGCTCAAGCACTTGCAGTGTTGTGACCCCGCATTGTACAACAAAGATTGTTATGTTTGTTTGGGAACCCTGGCGATGGGGGACGCGTTGGCTGTTGAGATCGCCCAACAAAGCCACATAAATTTGTTGAGGGCCCTAGCTGGCAGCATGCGACCCGATGAAGCATTGCAATATCGACTACCATGTCCTAGAGGACCTTTTTATGAGTTGCTGACCATTGACGACCACATTGGGCTGCAACGTGTTAAATTGGACCACACCCCGGACTGCTTGCAGCACACTCGAGACAGTGAGGTGTTCAAGGCTTCAGAACTAGCGTACAAGCAAGTTCAGCTCACAGCACACCCTGGTAAACGCCAAAGACAGGTCGACCGGGCTATTGTGTTAGGAGCCGAAGTTGACGGAGTGTTGGGCCGTGTTTCGGCTCCGAGGACACGCATCGCAGCTCTATGTTTCATCACTAGTGTTATTGTCAGAAAAGGCATTATCACTCGCAAGTTGTTGCTAGGCCTCATTGGTTGTTGGACCCATGTTTGCTTATTTCGCAGACCTGTGTTTGCAATCTTTGACAAAGTGTATCATGAGGGTGAACATCTAGCCGACGATGTCGTGTTCAAAATGTCTTCGCAAACCATGACGGAGTTGCTTTTGATGTGCATGTTATCGCCGGTCATGCAAGCAGACTTGAGAGTTGATGTTGCCCCTGCTATCTACATGCTTGACGCATCCCCCTACGGGGGAGGGATTTGCAAGGCTGATTTTCCTCGAGGTGCAGTCTCAGAGTTGTGGCGACACACAGAGCAGAGAGGCTACTATACAAAGCTTCAGCAGGGGGCCGGGTTGGCCTTGCAGGAGTTGGGGATTGAACCTGAGCCTCCTTGTGGACCTGAAGCTGATAGTCATTTGCTCGATTCAAAATACAGTTTTGCTTCTCGTACCAAGACGCCCCAGGACCGCACGATCATCTACGATTGCATCGAGCTGTTCTCGGGGTTTGGCAACTGGTCACGAAGTCACTCTGAAGTAGGTTTGAGAGTGCATCCTGGTGTTGAACGGAGCGCCACGGGCCACGCCTACGGTGATTTGTCCGACAAGGATACATTCTTGACTTTGAGCAAATTAGCTTATCATGGAGCCATCCGTGAGTGGCACGCTGGACCGCCATGTTGGTCGTTCGGCACTTTGCGAAGACCACGACTCAGATCTAAACAACAGCCTGAAGGTTTCGACATGAAAGACCCGGTGACACGGGAACAGACCCTGCTGGCCATTCGGACTGCTTTTCTGCTGACCTTAGCTCTGACTAGCGGATGTTATATTTCCTGTGAACAACCTGGCAGTTCAGTTATGTTTGAACTTCATGCCTTTCAGGTGTTGGTGGGTCTAGGATGTTGGATTACCAAGTTTAGTTTTTGCAGCTTTGGTGCAGGGTTTCAGAAGCCAAGCAAATGGTTGCACAACAAACCTTGGTATTGTGGGCTGGCGGGACCATGTTCGTGTGCTACAAGAACAGGCATTTTACGGTTCGGGGCTCATTTACTAAGGATGCCTTGCAGACCTTTCGACAGCGGTGCACGCCTAGCGTTGTGGAGGTTTATGGCCGAGAGCCACGGCTTGGGGAGGCAGTGAGCAGTTTCTCCGCATCCTACCCTCTCCCTCTGTGTCGTCGCATGGCTCTGGGGAGCGTCGCTGCTCACTCGGAGCGGGACACCGGGCCTCAGGCTGGTGAGTGCTCCACCACAAAAGCCACGGGCATCGAACAGGCCTGGAGATCATGGCATGAGGATCCAGACTGGGTGGAGGACATCTGTGAGAGCCAAACTTTCCGGGAATTGTTCAGATACAAGTTTCAACAGAAAGGGCACATTAATTGTTTGGCATGCAGGGTTTACAAATCATGGTTGAAACACTGTGCTAAAGCTCACCCTCGTTCACGACTAGTTGGACTTTTGGACAGCCGCGTCACCATGGGCGCAGCAGCCAAAGGTCGCAGCAGTTCACGTGCCTTCAGTCGGATCTTGAAGTCCTCTCTGGGCTATATCCTGGGGGGGGGACTCTACCCTGGTGCACTCCATTGCCGCTCGGCTTGGAACAGAGCAGATGGTCCATCCAGAGATGGTTCAGTCCCTGGGCCAACCAAGGACGAGCCTCGCTGGATCACCGCGTTGAAGCAGGATGACTTCAGACCGTTTGACTTAATGTTGGAGTCGGCGCGCTGGACTCGTCCGATAGGCCGATGGATCAGGTTGCTGCTTTTGATTGCAGGTGACGTTGAGAGACACCCAGGTCCCGTGCCTTCTGCGCAAAAGAACTTCACCCCTCGAGGGGAGCTGGATTTGATGGGCGGGTTTGCACAAGCGACCTCTTTGCGCATGAGGCGTTGTCTTGAGCTGTTTGGTGCATGGTGTTCCACCGTTGCTGGCATGTCTCTTGAGGAGGTCCTGAAACAAGCAGACACGACCAATCTTGCGCTGCGGGGCTACGGCCTATCGTTGTTCCGGGAGGGTAAACCTCGTTATTTGTTGGTGTACGCCATTACGGCAGTTCAACAAGTGAAGCCGGAATTTCGTAGATTGCTCTCAGGAGCCTGGCAGGTAGATCATAAATGGCAGATCGAAGAACCTGGGCAGTGTCGGGCAGTTTTGAGCGCGCCTGTATTTCGGGCTATTCTTTGTCTTGCATTGTTATGGAGGTGGGACAAGTTCGCAGGAGCTGTGGCATTGGGCTTTGGCGGGATGCTTCATCCCAATGAATTTCTTGCACTCCGCCGCAGAGACCTTGTGTTTCCGCAAGACGCTCTGATGACAGACTCCACCTCCTTGTACGTGTTCGTACGCAACCCAAAAACAGCCCGCTTTGCTCGGCGCCAACATGTCAGAGTTGACGACGAATCTTTGACTCGTTTTATCTTTTGTTTATTCCATCAACTGCAGCTTGATGATGCCATCTTCCCGGCTTCAACCGCTGTATTTCGCAGACAGTGGAATGCATTGTTGGACAAACTTGAGATACCTAGGAGGCAAAGTGATCGTGGAGCCACACCAGGAACATTGCATGGTTCAGGTGCATATACAAGGTGCTGAAATCTCTCGCATTCAATGGCAAGGGCGCTGGTCTCGGTTGCGCACACTTGAATATTACATTCAGGAAGTCGCAGCTCAATTGTTCCTCTTCACTCTTTCCACACGTGCCCGAGATACAATTTCTTTTTTGGAACAGCACCTTACAATTGTTTTGCACGGTCGATTTCCCCAGTTTTTTCATTGATCTTGCAGAGCAGTAAGCAAAAGTTGGAATGGGAGCTTGACAACACACTTTGTTCCACGAGCATTGGCAGCCTGCTTGAGTTCTTTACAGCTTCAGTTGTGGACAACATAGCATGGTTGAACGTTGGCGTCTTCGCTCCCAGACCTGTTAGTGGCCACTAGGTTGCCTTGAAACCAAGGCCAGGGAATCTCAGTGAGTGCGGAAAACAATGGCGACATGATGTATATATATATATATTGTTTTTTCTTTGGAAGCGTTAAGACTAGAGGAAAATGCTGGCAAAAGTGCTTGGCAAAAGTGCTTGGCAAAATTTTTTGTTTTCCCATATCTATTATGCAAAGTGTAATACTGTTATATAATATAATATTGTACTATTGCCAGTAATCCAGTAACTTAGCTAATGTTATGGCCCGGGCTGGGGTGGGCGGGGCGGCCCGGGGGCCGGGGGCGGGGACAAGGGAACCACGAGTGGGGCCGGGCACGGCGGGCGCGCTGTCGGGGTATAGAGACCGAGCAAAACGGAAGCTCGCGGGGAACGACCGGGCACAGGGAGAGCAGTTGGGCGAGGACCACTCGGCGGGCTGAACGAGAATCCCCGTTGAGTCCCCGTTGGGATTGGGGACTCAACGGGGACTCAACGGGGATTCAACGGAAACCCAACAGGGACTCAACGGGGACTCAACGGGGACTCAACGGGGACTCAA